CATCGTCATCATAATGTTCCTCCTCCTGCTGCTCCTCCTCCTCATTATCATCATGATCATCATCATCATCATCATCATCATCATCATCATCATCATCATCATCATCATCATTATCATCATCCTCATCCTCCTCTTCCTCTCCCATCCCTCTCCTCCCCCTCCTCCACCCATTCTTCCTCATCCTCCTCCTCGTCATCCTCATCCTCATCCTCATCAGCCTCATCATCCTCATCGTCATCATCATCATCATCAGCGTCACCGTCGTCATCATCATGATCATCATCATGATCATCAGAATCATCATCAGCCAGTCATCATCATCATCATCCTCATCATCATCATCATCATCATCCTCCTCCTCCTCATCATCATCATCATCATCATCACCCACCTCGTCGGTCTTATCCTCCTCCTCCTCTTCATCCTCCTCCTTCGCCTCCTCCTCCTCCTCCTCAGCACCCATCTCCTCTGACTCTCTCTCCTCCCCCGGTCGCCCCCCCCCGTCCTCTTCATCGTCATTCTCCTCCTCTTCGCCGGTCTGGTTCGGGAGCTGTGTTGGGCATGTGGACGTCAAGCGACGCTTCATCCGCCAGATGGGGCATTCCGCGTCTCCGCACCCGCACCCGCACCCGCGACCGTCCCGTCGCCGCGAAGAGAGGCGAGGAGGAGGAGGAGGAGGAGGAGGAGGAGGAGGAGGAGGAGGAGGAGGGGGAGTAGGAGGAGGAGAGCGTACCCCCATATCAAGTGTGGATTGTAGGACCTATGGTGTACGCCAAGGAGGAGGGGAGGCGGAGGAAGAGAAGGGACACTCCCATGACCCAGGTTCGCCAGCGATGGCAGCCAGAGAGCAACAGCAACTGGGCGCGCCTAGGTGCCGCCGCTATTGCTCTAGAAGACGGAGAAGGAAGAGGAACAGCAGCAGCAGCAAAGAAAGCATGAGGAGAAGGAACAGGAGGATCAGGAGGAGCGGGAGGGAGGGCGGAAAGAGAGAGGGAAGAGCGGGAAGCGAGAAGGAGGGGAGTGAAGTCAGGAGGCGAGGGGGATGGATGGAGCTGAAGGAGCAGAGGAGAGGAGGAGAGAAGGGGGAGAGGAAGGACGGGAGGGGAAGCGAGGAGAGAGGAAGGGAAGGGACGAGAGGGGAAAGGAGGGGAAAGAGGGAGGGTGGGCAAAAGGAGGACGCGAGGGAAAAGAGGAAGGGCTGAGGGCCCTTGTTCTGACGGCCTCTCCGCGGCAACCCCGCCTCCGTCGCCCCCAGCCCGCGGTCTCACGGCGGCGGCCCAGGCGCCTTGCCGTCCTTGCCCTTGCCGCCCTTGCCACCGTCCTTGCCCTTGCCTTCGTTGGCGGGCCTGGTCGCGGGCCATCCCCTCCCCTCCACTGGGAGGAGGAGGGAGAGGAGGAAGGGTCCACGAGGCTTCCGAAGGGCACCCCAAGAGATCCCAACGGGCATCCAAGAAGCCTCGGACCAACAACCCAGGCACAGTGGCGGGATGGACCGAAGGCCACTAACATATAATAATGAGAAGATAAGCAATAACAATCATCATAAACTCTGAATAACAAAAAAGTAAGCTTGATATCAATGCGAACTATGACAATGAGCAGAATATGGCGTTTCCGACTTCGACTACGACGGTGAATCCTACCATTGCGGCTAGCAACAATAACCATGATGGAGATGATTCTACGACCTAAGCTACGACTCGAGAACGACTGGCACTGCCACATCCCACGTGATACTCGCATACATACCTGCATAAATATATATATATATATACACATACATACATACATATGATTACGATGGACGCTACTCATCCTGGTGCCAGCAAGTGGACCCAGCCAGTAGGTCATTGCGCTCCAGGTGCGCATGCTACGAGGTGCAAGCCACAGGGCACCATATGCCACCAACCATCAGGTGTCGACCATACAAGGCATGACAGGAAACCTGGCCATCAGGCACAAAAAGGGCGCCATTGTAGATAACAATCCACTGTGCATAGCCTGTGCACAGGCCTACCATAGGCCTGTGCATAGCCTATGCATACGCCTATGACGGACGAGGCGCATAAGCCTATCGACAGGCTTTGCACAGGCCTATGACAGGCTATCGGCAGGCTGCGCACAAACCCCCATAGGCCTAGACATAGGCCTATGCACAGGGTGTGCACAGGTTTCTACTCTGTCTGGGCACAGCGCGAGAGTATACTCGAACACACGGCGGCAGATCTATGCACAGCCTGTGCGCAGGCCTATCACAGGCCTATGGGCAGGCTGTGCACAAGCCTGTGATAGGCCTATGCGGAGCCTGTGTATAGGCCTGTGGTAGGCCTGTCGGTAGGGTGTGTGCAGGCCCGCGACAGGCCGATGCACAGCCCTGCAGTAGACCGATGGTCGGCCTGCGGTAGGCCTGTGTAAAGCCTATGCACAGGCCTGTAGATGGTGCGACGATCCCGCATGCACAGCCGACGCACAGGCCCAAACCCAAGGCCCGCGACAGGCCTATGCATAGCCTGTGCATAGGCTTGTGGTAGACCTGCGCACAGGCTGCGCACTGATCTGCAGGCTGTGAGCTCTGGGACAGCGTGGACCAGACATTCCAGGCAGCCCCAGGACAAGTCCCAGATGATATCCCATAACCTCCTAGAGATTCCAATGCAAGCCCAGAAGCGGAGGAAAGGAGGAAGGGAAGGATGACAGGCACCCCAGAGAGGGCTGGAAGGGTCACCCTAAAATGGGGCGGATTGTAGGGTGACCCTCTGGGAAGCGCGAGAGCCTTCCCAGAAGATCCCGAACGGCCAACCTCAAACGGAGCAAATGTTAGAGTTGTTCCCTGGGAGGCCTATGGGCGGGCCTGTGCGTAGCCTGTGCACAGGCCGACCTGTCGCGGGCGTCGGCCCCCTCTCAGATCCACCACAGGCCTGTGCACAGACTGTCGACAGGCCTGTGACAGGCCTGTGTACAGACTATGCACAGGCCTGTAGCCGGGCGTTGGCCCTCTCCCAGGCCCACCACAGGCCTGTGCACAGCCTGTCCACAGGCCTGTGACAGGCTCGTGCGCAGGCTAAGCACAGGCCTGTCGCGGAGTGTCGGCCCTCTCCCAGGCCTGACGCGGGGCGTCGACAGCCTGTCCACAGGCCTGTGACAGGCCTGTGCACAGGCTATGCACAGGCCTGTCGCAGGGATTCGCCCCTCTCCCAGGCCCACCACAGGCCTGTGCACAGCCTGTCCACAAGCCTGGAACAGGCCTGCGCATAGACTATGCACAGGCCTGTCGCGAGGTGTCGGCCCTCGCACAGGCCCACCATAGGCCAGTCCACAGGCCTGTGATAGGCCTGTGCATAGCCTGTCCACAGGCCTGTCGCGAGGCGTTGGCCCTCTCCCAGGCCCACCACAGGCCTGTGCACAGACTGTCCACAGGCCTGTGCTAGGCCTGTGCACAGGCTTTGCACAGGCCTGTCGCGGGGTGTAGACCATCGCACAGGCCCGCCATAGGCATGTGCATAGCCTGTGCACGTGCACACACCTGTGACAAGCCTGTGCACAACCGAAGGCCTGTCCCGGAGTGTCGGGCCTCTCCCAGGCGCATCACAGGCCTATGCACAGCCTGTTCACAGGCCTGTCACAGGCCTATGCATAGGTTGCGCACAGGCCTAAGCACAGGCCTATGCACAGGCTGTGCACAGGCCTATGTTTCGTGAGCACACAGGCCCCGAGGCAGCCTATCGATAGGCTTATCGATAGGCCTATGGGTAGGCTGTGCATAGGCCTGTCGATAGGCCTTTCGATCGGCCTATGGGTAGGCTGTGCATAGGCCTGTCACAAGCCTGTGAGGCCTGTGGACAGACTGTGTACAGGCATATGGTAGCCCTGTGCACAGTCTGTGCATAGGCCCCCCTTCTGAGGCTTCCACAGGTTTATATACACCCTATGCACAGGCCTACGATAGGCCTGTGCACATCCTATGCACAGGCCTGTGACAGACCTGTACATAGCCTGTGCACAGGCCCACAGGGGACCTATCATAGGCTATGCATAGGGTATCGTCAGGATCGTTGATTGCGCCAACCAAGAATACCAAGCGTACTGATGTTACATGTTCGGGAGACCTTATCTGTCCCACCGCGCCGCCGTCCGCGACGCCATCCGCGACCAATCCATGTCGAACGCGTCGAATCCGCATCGAAACCACGTCGAGTCCGCATCGAGCCCACGTCAAATACACGTGGGACCCGCGTCGAACCCACGCCAGATACAAGCACACACCTCCGCTTGTAGGACAGACAAGGTCCCCCGAAGGTGCAGCTTGACCACAGGGTGCCACACGGCACCGACAACAGGGCGACAACCGCAAGGTACATATCGACCGCGGGAGCCAACCGAAAGGGTGCAGATGCGAGAATGGCCGACCACAGCCGCCAGGGCAACAGCCGTAGGGCACCAGCCAGATGGCATCATGGCGCATCGACGGCGCCTGCAGGGCATCCCAATCGAAGGGCACCAGAACCAGCTCACCAACGCCTGGCTGCGACCCAGGGGCAACTCCGTTGTACAGTAGGAGCTCGACCACGAGACACCTTCCACAAGAAACCCAACCCTGAGACCTCAGGGCGTCCATTGGGTTTGGTGTGGGAGCGTCACACTTTCCATAGCAAAACCATCGAAACCCAAGAAACCCAGGGCAACCCTGGAAGCAAGCAGTGTGTTTCTTGGCATGGGTTTGCACTGTACGGTCACACTCAACATCATCACCATCATCAGCATCATCATCGTCGTTGTCTCCCTCCCCATCCTTCGAATCATCGTCAACAACAACACAATTACCGTCACCATCACAGTTCAACCCCTAATACGGCTAATACTCGTCGCCCTCGTCCCCATCCTCCTCCAAACCACACATCTCATCACTACCACCACCACCACCACTATCACCACCGTATCCATACTCGCCTCCTCTCCCCTGGGTGCAGAGAGCTGGGCGCGCGGGGCGGGGGCAGCGGGCTTCACGCTGATCTGCCGCCCGTAGCACCATCTGGCATGGAAGCGTTGCCGCGCCGCCGCAATGCATCGTCACAGCCGCCGCCTACGCTCCTGCCAGGCTGACGCTCCCCAAATCCCGCTCACACTCCCGCCCCTGCTCCTGATCCGACTCATCATCAGCATCAGCATCAGCATCAGCATCAGCATCAGCATCAGCATCATCGTAATCATCATCATCATCAACAAAAACAACAACAATAACAACAACAACAACAACAACAACAACAACAACAACAACAACAACAACAACAACAACAACAACAACAACAACCACAACAACCACAACAACAACAGCATCATTATCAGCAGCCGCATCATCATCCTCATCATCATCCTCATCATCATCCTCATCATCATCCTGATCATCAGCAGCAGCAGCAGCATCAGCATCACCATCATCATCATCATCATCATCATCATCATCATCAGCAGCAGCATCGTTGTCATCATCAGCGCTATCGCAATCATCATCACAATCGTCGTTGTCATCGTCATTGCCATCGTCGTCGTTTCTCGTCATGAGCAGCGTCATCATGCATGGTCATCATGATCAACATTGTCATCGCTGTCGTCATCGTCGTCGCTATCATCATCACAAATACCACCACAACCACCACCACCATCTCTATCATCATCATCATCATCAGCATCAGCATCTTCATCATCATCATCATCATCATCATCATCATCATCATCATCATCATCGTCATCATCATCATCATCATCATCATCATCATCATCATCATCATCATCATCATCATCATCATCATCATCCTTATCTTCGTCTTCATCTTCATCTTCATCATCAACAACAACATCATCATCATCGTCGTCGTCGTCACGGTCATCGCCGTCGTCACACTCACCATGATCAGCGTGATCAACATCATCAACATCATGAATACCGTTATCTCCCCACTAAATCATCCACCCATCCCGTAACTGCCATCCTGATCGTCCTTCCCCCTATGTTGCTCCTGTTCCTCCTCGTCCTCCTGCTCCTCCGCTTCATCTTGCTCCTGATTATGCCCCCATCTCCTTTCTCCCCCTTCCTATTTCCTTCCTCATGCTGCTGGCGCTCGAGCAGCAACACAGTAACCAATGAGGAATGATTCTGGCGCTGCGGCGAGATTGCCGTTCCCAATGAGTGTCAAGCACGCCGTTCCCAGTCAGGAATGTGGCTGGCGCTCGAGCGGCAGCACCATAGCCAATTAGGAATGTGGCCAGCGCCGAGGCCAGCGTACCGTTGCTCCTGAGATTTATCTTGCTCGGGTGTAGTTCGAGCCCGTGCTGATTTGACGCCTTCACGATGTTGATTACAATAACGATCTGGCTGCGGGAGTCTTGTACTGCTTCACGCAGCACGTGCTGAATGCATGGTTGTCAGTGTTTGAGAATGTTTGCAATGCTACATGTTATGACTCGTATCTCTGCCACTCGGCGTCCTCGGGGTAGGGTTTGCGCTGCAACCGAATCCGAACCGTCACACAGGAGGTGGGAGGCGTGGGTACCGGCACAACGGTGGGGATGTTACTCTGAGGTGGAAATGTCGCTGTCGCTGCGGCCAGATCAGGCTGAACATGTAACTGGCAGTGCGGTCGGACAACTGAAATGTGGACGACGCTCAGGCGGGAGCTTCATTTCGACAGTCTTCACGCCCCAAGCGCTCACGTCACCGCTGTTCCCGCGGCCAGGGTGCCAGCGGAGCCCACTGGCAGCGGGCCAGGCGTCAGGTTGGGTGCCCGGCGGGGGGCTTGTATGATTAACTCCCACCCTGTCGCGTCACCAGACGTGTCGGCAGGTCCTGGACGTTTCGCTTGCGACGACTTCACAACTTACGATCCTCAAGCTAAATGAAAAATTCCAAGAGCTTCAAGGATGGAGGGCGGTTCCTTTACAAAATGTGGATCACGCCTTAGCGCCGCGCACATCCGTCTTACACGATTGAAACAGCTTCAAGAATGGAGGCGGGTCTACTTTCAAAATCGTGCTCTCGCATTAGAGACGCACACATTCGACTTTTAAGCGTTTGCAGCAGCTTCTGGGATGGGGGACGGTTTGATTTCAAAAGGGGGCTCTCGCCTGAGCACCGCACCGTTCCTTCCCACAAGCTTGCAACAATTACAAGGATGTAAAGGGCCTGTGGTCCACAGATGGCCCTCGCTCAAAAACCTTGAAACTTAACATCCAAAAGCTTCTTGGACGCATGCTTGTCACAGCTGTACGGATGGAGGGCCGCTGGCTCTCAAACTGGGGCCCTCGCTCGAGGCTTCCTCGGACGTGTAGTCTTGCGCAGCAGTTGCACGCATAGGGTTAGGTCGGGCATGTCCCTCTACAGGCGGATGTTTAACGAAAGATGAAAGAAACACCCCAAAAATAGTCACAGATAAAAAATCGAAAATTCGTACCCTGATTCCTGTTCAACTATTACTGAAGATTACCCCTGTGGAGGGACATGCCCGCCTGAAGCGTAGGGAGGCAACTCATCTGCAAGACGGGGGCTCTCGCTGGACGCCTCGTGATGCAAGGCAGCTTCCTCCTCTCAACGGCAGGCCCGTCGCGCGCTCGCCTTGCAAAGGGGGCGCTTCCTGTGGCAAAACGGCCTGCAGGGACTCGTGAGGAGGGGGGCTTTTGGGACGGGAGGGTGCACTGCAGCATCGTTGATGCATCTTGGGCTTACTCTGTATTCCTCCTCCTCCTCCTCCTCCTCCTCCTCCTCCTCCTCCTCCTCCTTCTGCTCCTCCCCCTATGCCCTCCCATCCCCTGCTCATGCGTCCGTTCTGCCATAACCCCCTCCCCAATCACGCCCTGCTTCCTGTCTGCTCGCCCCCCACTCGTGTCGGGGAGAGGGGGCGGCACTGCTTTACTTGTGATGCGAATGTCCCGAGACGTCGATACGTATGTCCGTCACGGTCAATTCACATCGGAGTCGTACTGGATTTGTTCAGGTACCCCACGCTTGATTCGCAACTGATACACGACATGCTCCACAACTGGTCCGCGTTTGACTCGTCATTGGCACACGACGAACTCGCACTTAGTCACAACCAAGTCACGGTTCAGAATCGTGCGCGATCGCCCCAGAATCGATTCGCAGCGTCCCCGTGATCGATCCACACTTCGATCGCAACTCGCTCCTGATAAAAGCGCGGACGAAACCAGAGGAAGATGTTTATGCCCTTGTTTCCTCCGAGAAACACGACCGACTCGCCCGCACTGCCGCGCCATTGGCAGGACGACACCACGTTGGAGCCTGCACCGTGACCCCCCCTGGCGCCGCGGCACCACGGCACCACGACACCACGGCACGGCGCGGGACCGCTCGCCGGCAAGAACGCCAGGACAGATCCTCTTCGTTGGCACGCTGCAGGACATACTATTACGATGCCCTCGCGTACATTCCTCCAAGAAGCCTGAGATCCGCTCCAAGGCGGCTCCAAGTTACCACGGGCCTTCCTAAGAAGCCCCCCAGGAGTACGCCCAACAAGGCCCAAGAGGCTCCCAAGAGGGCCCCACGAAGGGCTCCAGAGGATTGGCGCACTCGTCGTCGCCGTCGCCGCCGCCGCCGCCGTCCCTCTTCAGGGTCGGCGGCTTCGGCCGCAAGGCCTTCGCAATACGATGTGCTCGTGTTGGAGCCGCTCGTCCGATCCGAACGGCGTGGCCAGAACGCACCCCCCACGGACCTTACACAATGAGACTTCCGAGCGTCCGCGTCGCCCTTACGTAGCTGACGCACCTGTAGTATGTAGTATGCTTGGGTGGTGCCGACCCAATCACCCAGAAGCATCGCACACGCAGCGTCGCTCTTGGTCGGCGGCGAAGGCGGACGCCAACGCGGTCGGTCAGCCGGCGGCTCGCACCAGGCAGAGGCACGCTAGACGAGTGGAGAAGGGGAGGGCGGCCGCGAAGGGGGGAACGCGGGGGGGGGGCCTCAGGCGTAGAGAATCTTCGCTACGAGGAGTGCGCGGGCGGCCTCAGGCAGCGAAAATCGGTGCACTGGAAGGTGAGCGACCAGCGCAGGCTGCCGAAGGAGAGGACGCGCAGCGCCGCACGCACGATGCGCCTTGCATCACGCGAGCACGGCATTCGAGACCCGACTCCCCTTGTGACGGGGACGGACACAGGGTGGGGTCCCATGCCCAGTCCCGACTGAGGAGACAAAACTTCAGAAGCATAAACTTTCTGAACTCCGCGTGGATTTCTTGGATCGGCGCTGGGCCCCCTGGCGGCGCCTCTGGCGCCGCCCCTGGTGCGTTCCGCGCGCCAGGACGAGGGGTCCAGCGCCGATCCAAGAAATGCGCGCGGAGCTCCGACAGTTCCTGTTTATGTAGACTTGCCTTCTTCGACTCCCAGCATCAGGGAGAAGTATCTCCTAAAATTCTGAAATTCCACGCGCTCTTCATCGTCCGCCCGCGCTGGCGAATCACTGAGCGGTCAGGGAGAGGTGCGAGGGGAGCAACGAAAGAAGGGAGGGTGGCAAAGAGGCACGAATACATTGATGTAGGATTCGTGGGTCAAGGCCTTACGGGCGCACAGGCTCAGATGAACCATGACTAGCGGCATGAAGCTACAGATACCACCCTACAGTCGCCGTCGCATCCGCCGCCGTCGTCGCCGCCGACGACATCGTCATCGCCGTCGCTGCGAGGAGGGGACGTATCCAGAACCACCGCCTTAAGTAGAAGAAGAAGAGGAAGGAAAACAAACGAAAAAAACATAAACATATTTGGGGGGCGCTCCACGTGGACTTAGTGGATCTGCGCTGGACCCCCCTCCTTGGCGCGCGGAACGCGTCAGGGGCTGCGCCGAAGGCGCCACCTGGGGGCACAGCGCGGATCCGAGAAACCCGCGCGGAGCGCCAAAAGCTTATGTTTATGGCGTTTTCCCTTCTTCGATGAAGGATCGATATTCGAACACCTCGGCAGGCGGTGGATCTGTGTATATTTGGCCACCTCAGGGCCCATATGCATATCCACCGCCTGCCGAGGTTCC